GGGGGTGGAAGACCTATGGCCTTCCATTATTTTTTAGCCTTTTCAGGCATCTGCAGCTGGGGGAAGGGAAGGAGATGCTTGCTGCTAACATATGTGTTTCATAGGGCTGCCAGCTGACCATCCTCATTTCTGGCCAGTGTTTATGGAAATCAATCTGTTAATTTACCAGCATGACGCCAGATAGTTTCTGGTCAGATTCTGACTCGCTTAAAAACATGCTAGGTTTGATAGTGATTTGAAGTGCAGTGTTGGTTGGTTGTTTTTTTTCTTATGCACTAATTCTTATTTATAAAATGCAAGATGTTTGATAGATATGGAAGTGCTTAAAAAAACACCCATTTCTTAAGGTGAATACACTTTTCTCCTAGAAATTCTTTTTTTTTTTTTCCTGAAAAATGAGTAAAAACTTGAAGCTTGAAATGGTTGATAAGCCGAAGAGCTCTCGCTGCATGCACTTAGGCAACATTGAAAGAATAAGAATTTTGATTATCTCCCCATTCCAGTAACTTTTTAAAATTAAACATTAGAGTGGATTTTGCATATTTGCTTAGCTAGAAAATAGCACATGGCTTTGCAGGTTATATTTAGCAGGAGGATATTACTTTTCCTTCAAAAGTGTGAAGATATTACTACTTTTCCCTTTTACAAATCTGCAAGTCAGGAAAGAATTACTGTAACTGGCGGAAAAAAAAACCCCAACGTTTTCTTTTCATGGAAGCAAAAAGCTCCCATTAAATTTTGTGGGACTCTGGTGACCCTTTGAACAGGAACACGCCTGTAAAAATGTGGACTCTGTTCTATTTATCATTTGACTATAATTCCACCCTCTAGATGATGTAGTTTCAGTGTGTATTAGATTTGCACACTGCCTTTAAATGACGCAGCTGTTCCATGGTTTCTTTGGGATACATGTGTTAGATTTTTCAGACTGTAGGTTATTTAGTACTGGATCTTGTAGCATCCTAAAAATACTTGGTTTAGGTCCATCCAATTGTATTTGAGCTGCCTGCATGTTAATACTTTACAGAGCTCCTCTCTGGCTCATAACGTACAGCAGTACTCACAGAAGTCATGAATGAGCACAGAAATTTTGGAATACTGTCATGGGTGCGTCTGTGTGGAAAAAAAAGATTCGATGAATGGTCACACTTACTTTCAGAAAAAGGGAAGATTACTACCAATTTTCCAAGCTTGTCATGAAGGGGACAATAGGTTCATCTGGGGAAAAAAGGTCATTACTTTAAAAGCAACTTTTTAATAGTTTAAAATGTTAAAGTTCTTGGCAATTTAGAATAGGAATTCAAAATAAGGGTTCTGTTTCAGGCTGTTGTAATATTGTCATCCAGATGTGCTTGCTGTAAGCCAAAGAAACATCGGGGTCTTTTAAAATATGCCTCATCTTGCTCGGGGACATCTTCTTTCCCCAGGTGGCGGCTGGGGGAGCAGACCTTTACCAGCACCCCCTGCCAAAGCTTCCTGCTGTTTGGGGTAGTGGGTGCTGGCACACTCCAGGTGGTGGAGAAGTGTGCTGCTCCCTCGCTCTCCTCTCCCTCTTTCCCCCAGTTCCCCATCTTTGCGTGCTGTGCTCGCCTTCCCGTGCTGCTCCTCGAGCCCATCGCCCTCCTCCTTCCTCACCAAAAAACCCCTGTGGCCCCGACCTCGGCCGTGAGCTGCACCGGCAGCCAGGAGTGATTCGGGCACCGCGCAGCAAAACCCAGCGCTGGGCTTAGGCTGCCGCTCGAGAGACCTCTCCTGACCACTGCTTGCTGATGGCACTTGGTTTAACGATGTAAATTTATTTTAAAGCAAGCAACGGTAACTGGCTTGGTTCTTAAAAACGGGTACCTGGTCAGCATAGCGTGCTGTTTTAAAAATACATTGCTTGGGTTGTTTTAATGTAAGTAAAGTCATCTGCTAATACAGCCCTTTTACTTATCTATTGAATTTTCAAACCAGTAATGAAACTTTCTTATTACTGTCCATTTTTGCAGTACATAGGCAGAAAAAAGGATGTGGTAGGGACTTTGAAAGCTCTGCCCAAAAACTTGATGAATAGAAGTTGAGAACTGATAACTGTGGAGGTAATGAGAACGGGGAAGATCCTAAGGAGAGATTAGAGAGAATAAATTCAAATCACACTTAAAAGAAAGTGTGGATTGCATATCACTGAAGTGGATTTCTAGAGAACAGTTTTCAGTTCCAGGTATATTCACTGCCTTTTCTGCTTTCCAACCTGACCTCCTCAAGTAAGATTGCTTCTGTTTAGTCTGTGTCAATCTGAATTTTGATGGGATCTAAACTATGTGGGAACTGAAAGCATGCCTCCTATGTGGACATCAGTTTCCTTCAATTTCTTGTTGACAGCCTCTTATGTGACTTGTTCCTCTTAGGCCAAGTTAGTTGTTTCTGCTCAAAAGATGAGAAGCAACCAAGGACTGTCTGAACTAGCCAGAAAACTCCTGTCAGGGAACTAAGTAAAAGCAGAGGATGAACTTCCTTTGAAATTTATAGTAAACTCAGAATTTTCCTCTGAAAAATTAAGTTAAATTGTTTGTATTCATGAGCTTCTAAATTAAATACATCAGATTCAGTGCTTTGAAGTGATTTTTTTCTTTAATCCCCCTAACCCTCATAAAGAGACTAATCTCCCATTTATTGCAATGTAAGGTGTCATTGAAATACACGATATGGTCTATCTCTGCAAAGTATGAAAGTGCATTTAAAATAATTTAAAAACTGCCAGTGTAACCAAAAATCCCCAATTTTTTTTATATTCTTCTGGCTATTTCAGTGAGAAACAGATGGCTTTAAAGCACAGCTTTCGCATGCAGTGACCTACCAACTTAAACGGCAAGAATTTTATATCCTGACTCCCTAACTGGGGCCACATCATGTTCTTCTCAAGGCTCCCTGTGCTGCTTTATTCAGCAGAAGGATTCCTCTCCAGAAATCTGTCTTCAGTTGTTACATTAGGGAATTAAAGCGTACAGTAGCTTTTATACAGAGATACCTTACATGAACTGTAAGCCTTTAATTCCTTCTTTTGGGTAGCAAATGAAACCTTGCGTATGCCCACGGTGGCATTATGGAACTATGGAGAATATATTGTTTCTAAGGAGCGGTGGAAGTCTCTCCGAATAGGAAAACAGTATTGTAAATAGCAAGGTATTTTTTTATAAAATCATAATGTTAAGACACAAAGCTGGAACTTACAGAGACTTGGTTTCGATACTGTTGAAACGGAATGGAGACTTCACTGGGATGTGGGAATTGGGCTGAAGCTGATTACGTTCATGTTTCATTTTATTTAAAGTATAATAGCCATATGGCTAGTACATTGGACTGAAAATAAGAATTCCAGCATGCTTGGAAGTCTTCTGTGGAAGCTGGAAAATGATGCATAGAGATGCATGTTGTAGCACCCTGTTTCTTTGTTTGCAATAATATTACTGTAGAAGTGCATCCTGGACATAATGAAGTTTGCTGTGGTGAGAACAGGACAAGCAGGTTCACAGTAGCTGAGGAAGAGTGTTGAGGATTGAACCATGTCTGTGATTCAGGGTTGTTGGTAAGCATTAGTGCTGGCTTAAGCGGCATGCTCATATGGGAGTATCGGCTCTTAAAATAAGTGATACTGAGCAAACAAAGCGAGTTTTGGTATAATAGGGAATAAGGTAAAAAAATAAGTAGCAACAACCTACATGTGATTGCTTTGCTTAAACATAGATAACAAATATATATTTGTGTCATGTTGCACTATACCAGTGATAAGGAACATCAGCATTCTCTTTGTTCACATTGCCTATTTGATTTTTTTCAAATATATTGACATGATATAAAGTAACCATTTTAAGATGATGTTACCTTATCACTTCAGAGTTCTAGATGTTTTTTCAGTAGAATTTAACTTTTCAATTGGATAGTTTTCTTCTTAACATTGTTCTTGTACAAATTGCAAAAGCAGGAAAATTTTGTAACTGTGATCCTTTAAACATCAGGAAAATTTACTTGTTTGTTTAGTGGAAGAGAGAGAGAAAAAGGTGGAAAAGCTGTCAAGTTTACAGAAATAATCACTTTCTAAGTCTACAGGCCAAGATTTTCAAGGGATGTATGATTCTATGTATTGCCACTCTAGGTGCCAGACTTGAAAATACAGGGATTGAATAATAGATACGTAAAATCAGGCATTGTTTAGACTGAAAACCATTGTCATGGGTTGTACTGTTTTAATATTTGAAGTACTTTTTTCAAACATGCGAAGTAAATGATTCAGAAAGTTCTATCCTGCGTTTATAAATAAAGACTTGTTGCTTTCCATGTTAGTCAAGTTCTTAATTTCAGAATATTTCAAAATGCTGTAATTCAATTAGGAAGGTTTTACTTTGGGCTAATACTCAAGTAGTGGCTAGACTACATTTCTGTCATTAATTTACTGTATTTGTTTCTGAAATAGTCATGAAAGAAGTGCTATTTAAAAAAAAAGGCCTTGTAATTCTGATTTTATTTTTATAGCAGTGTGAAGAGTAGAAGATTTTCCTGAACTGGTTTGTGCTTGCATAACTGCTAGGAGTAGAAGTAGTATGACTACATGTGGTTAGTGGACTTTAAATAGTAACCATGGAGTACAAAATGCTCAGTTTTGAATTAACTGTCAATGCAGAAGCCAGGGCTTTTTAACTTTCTAGTCTCTAAAGTCTATGTACAAGAGCTAATTTTGAAAACACTTTGAGATTTAATTGTGCATTTACAGCGGAGTAACAGTAGTTTATTAATTCTAAAACCTGAAATGATGCATATCCATCTTAATGCATTATAATAATAATTTTAGTTGACATTTTTATGCAGTAATTAATTTCTGACATTTCTAGAGTTAATCTCCTTTAATATATATATATCTACACACTCCTATTATGTTATTTTACTAATCTTTTTTAAAAAGGGAACATTACATATTGAATACTGTACCTCAATTTTATTGTAATGATTTTACTGGTTACCAGGTGGGGTGGCAGTTGAAAAATTTGGTGAATGCACTACGAGAGGATCCGAGTGGTGTTATCTTAACTTTGAAAAAGCGACCTCAGAGCATGCTTACCTCAGCACCAGCTTTACTGAAAAATATGAGATGGAAGCCCCTTGCTCTGCAGGTAATGAAGCTTAATCATAAGTCATACACCATCATTTTAACTATAGATTATCTCAATGATGCTTTATTGTGCTTCATCTCAGCAGCATATGGATTTACTCTTGTATGCTTTGAAAAATTGTTTCTGAAATGATTTCTCTGCAGTTTGTTCTCATAAGCTCAATTGAAATTAAACCTGTTAGTAGAACTTTTCAAAGTTAAGAGGTAATCATCCCAGTGTTTTACAATGCGGAAAAGTAGCCCCAGATAACTTTTCTAGACAAGGGGAAACAAGCATACTTTAGAAACTGATAAATTTCAGTTTGACTTCTTGTTAATCTCTCAGTGCAGTATAACCTCAAAGAAGGAGGGGAGGAAAAGATCTTGAGTTCTCAATTTGAGCAATCATGGAATTATGGGAAAATTTATAAGGTGATTTTATTCAATGAACCACTTGACTGTCAAAATTTCCTCATGTAAATAAAGTTGTATTCCTGTCAAAGTTATCCTTGAGATTGAACCCTTGCACATAGGGCGGCGTAGCACAGGATGTCCGTCTGGGCCTTTAATTTTAGTAAGCCTGTAATGTGCTGAAAACCATGGAATGGTTTCATTAAAGCTTTTGTGTTTCACTCTAGGATAAAATGTTGCTGTGATGGATTACTCTAGGACATAAAAGTTATGTCCAGACTGATGAAAGCATGTAACCAACAGATGGAACTGACAAATAATCCCTTTTTTCTTCAGTTCAGATAGAACAATATTTAGAAATTTATTTTCTTTGCATAAAGAATGCATTCTTCAGGACATTTTTATTATCATGATAAAAAGTGTAATTTAAAATTAAGTACATTTGAGAGAGAAAAGACTTCTGCAAAGTTGGGGCAAAAGGAAAATGAGATACAGAAATGCCCTTGCCAGTAGCTGTGGTCTTTGCCATTTAAAATATTAAGAGATTCATAAAAAGAACTAATGCCATGAAGAACTTCTTTCAAATATGTATATATATATATAAAAATTATTTTATAATGGTTAAATGCATCATTGTCTTTGAAACTGAGTAAGCTTTTGAATGATTGAGATGTCTTGGTCTTTCAGATATAAAGAACTGACTAGACATGTGATCAAAAAACTTTCAACCAAAAATATCTTACTAGTGTCTGAACATAAAATTGGAAATCTGTATGCATGATATTGAGTGTATGAATGTCCATACTTGAAGGCTGCACTTTTATCATAGCTTTAGTGATAACATAAATACAAATGAAAAATGCACATCATTGCTTTAAATGGAGTCAAATGCTTTCAGTCTAAATCCTCTTCGGGTGAGTTTGGTATTCCTTTGGGTGAATTGGGTTATTCTCCTGAATATTCTTTTTGGTTCGCTTTGTCATTTGCCCATTTGTTGAAGACCCCAAAACAGAAGTTTCTGACATGGGCCATTGATGCAGACAGTAGCAAATAAGCAATTAATTCAAGACAGGCTACTCCAAAAGGGTGGGAAGAAATTGGACAGAAACCAATTTCCATCATTTAAACTAAGTCCAGTAGGAAAGTGAGGATTCCTGTGGTCCTTTTACAGTGAATGCAGTCATGAGCTAAAGTTGTGGGCCTGCTCAAAGCTCCACACTCACTTCCAGAAGCAAAAATCCAGTCATCTTTTAGTGTGTTTTATTTGGCTCTGTTTTGCATCTCGGCATCCTTGGTTGAGTACAGACACTAGGGTGTTACTCAACTGATCTAACTTCAGGTATCTGCTATATACATCACTACATACCATTCAGATTTCTCATTTTTACTCCCTTTGGCCAGAGGACGTATGTAATAGTTACTGCTTCCTTCATCTTGGCCGGTTTTAGACTGATCTACCGCAGGATGAGGTGAGCTGGACCCTGCGCATGCCTCTTTCTCTCCGTTTGATGAGAAAGGGAGTCTGGACAGCTAGCCCAAATGCAGGTTATCTGTATTAGATAAGAGGAGACTGACCCTAGATGGGGGTTTTCTGTGATCTTACAGGTTTGGGGAGTGGGGATAACGGGACTATTGGTTTTGGTGTGGGGGTTTTTCTGATAGAATAGGAAATATGAATATTTTTAAGGCTAATATGAGTACAAATTGAGATACTGTTAAACATTAGAGGTATAATTCTGGTATCACGATGATATTGTTCTGATTTTATCAAACATGACACCAGGAAAAGACCAGAACCTCGTTCAACACTTATGTGTGCAGTGTGCATATGTGTGTCTGTTGTAATTTATGATTTTAGTGTGAGAAACAACAGTTTTCTTAAGTAGTCTGAGTGTCGAAAAAGCTCCAGGGTGAAGACAGACTTCAGAAGCTGCATAATGTGGAGATGTCTGTTGTTAATTTATGCAGATCAGGGGTGAACAGATGTTAAGGCAGCTGATGTTAAAGTTAAAATGTAGCCTAAGTGTGAAATCAGTACTGTATGTTTGATTAATAACAAGCAGCAAAAGCAGTCAGACTGTGGTGTAATTTTATAGCTATTAAAAATATGAAGAAATTATGTTTATTGAACAGAATTGACTTAAAAAATTTCTGAAAAAATCTTCAGAAAAACTGTAAGTTTTGTAATTGCGATTTGCCCTATGGCTGTTCTGAAATTTCTTATGTTCCTGATTCACGCAAGGGTGCTGTTCTTTAATAGGAGCTTGGGAGGCAGTGTGAGAGGATGGGGAAAGTGATAGCAAGTAGCTAAAAAAACCGTAAGGAAAAGCAGTATTTCCATCACCTTTGGAAGCAGGGGAAATTATGATAACTTGTTTTCCTGTATCAGGGTGTCATGAAATAATTGAGAATGTTATAATTGTGCTGTCATCCCAGAACTAAGTTAGTTAATTGAACGATATGTTTTATTCAACAGACACAAGCTATAAGGAAATTATGACTCAGTAGTAATTCTGTTAAAGTGCAAAATATGAGCAAAATATTCAAAAGACTCTAGAACAAGATATGGGGACAATATTCTGATAAAATGGGAATTGGGACCTGCAAACTGGCTGCTGTGGTTTTTTTGGTTCTGCAAATGAAGTGAACAGAGGAAAAGTGCGGCGTGTCATCCTAACCAAATTGCAATGAGTGAGGTGGGAAGGTGGAAGTTTGCCCTAAAGTAAGGAGGCTGACACAAAACCAGAGACTGATTTTTTTGTATGCACCCCACCAATGAATATGTTTAACAGCTGTTGCAGCAAATGTAGAAGGTAAATATTTCAGTGAATTAAATTAAGAGATTCATTTACATTGAGATTTACATTGGGATGTTTTAATTGAGAGCCTTCAAAACTTAATGTTAGCTGAAAGTGAATAATGTTGAGGCATTATTGGTAAATTGCATTCTGCTTGTTTAGTCAATAATTGTATGTAAGAACATGAAGTTTGCCGTTTGCAGCTACATGAAAAACTAGACCTGATGGAGAGATATTAAGTCTGCCTGTAAACTGGGAAAGTGCTAGATGAGTCTTCCAGTCCAGGCAGTATGCAGGTACTACCAGTGTATCAAGCAGTTTGGTGTGTGAGTGACAGGGCATCCTGGTAATTAAATTATGCATTCTGATAATGAAATTTTTAAGAGCTTGCTGTCCACTGTTAGTGATCTAGATTAGCCATATGCCAGCCAAATGTTCATGGTCTCCGAGTGTGGAAAACACGTTTAGACCATTCGGATATTAACTGGCTACTAATTGGCATAAATACTTCTTAGAATGTTCAGTGGTTTACCCTGAACAGCTCTGCCTTCACATCGCAATCTTGTCATGAATTAGGAGTTAAATGCAGTCTACCTAATCATTGATTAATTCTTTGGCTTTTTTTTCCTTTTAGCAGAAATGCGGTATATTCATTCTTTTCACAAATATCCTTATCCTTAGAATAAATATGAAAGGTTAGGGGAAAGAAAGAAGAAGAAGAATTATGCATCCTGTGTAGCAGTCCTGAAACTGATATTGAATGGCTTGATGTACAGTAAAGTAATACAATTAGCCTATGGCTATACTATGCACCATTACATAATGAGTTTGTATTTACAAGTGCCTTAATTCCAGCTCTAAGGTCAATCAGTACAGAAAGAGAAACATCCTTTTTTTCCCCTTGTGTCCTGATGGAAGGAAGTGCTGGGGTGTTTTTTTGTTTTCAGTCACTTGATGATTGTCTGTTTTAATATCCATCAGTATCCAACTTCTTGCAGATAATCAAAGCGCTCCCTTGATACTTTCCGAAATCATGTCCAGATTTGTGAAGTCAAGGGATTTTTCAGCCTGTGTTTCTCGTTGTTGCTTTTATAACATTTCAATTAGGCAGCTGTGGCCTTGGGGAATTTTGTGGTTGCCTTTGCAGTTGAAGGTATTCATTGATATGGTATTGTACCATAAATATTAAGATGCTATTCCTACAAGACAAATCTTACTAAATTCGCCTTTCAGTTACTTTTTCTGATAACTCTGATCTGCTGTGTGAAAGCCTGGAATGATATTTCAGATTGCAACGTTTGTATTTCTGACTGCTACTGAATGTGGTGAACAAACCAATTAAGTTTAACCTTTAGTTTTTTTATTTTCCTTACTTGACATAGAGGTGACTTAATTTTCTTTGAACTCTCCAAATTTTTGTCTGGTTCAAACCTAACTTAAATAAATGTCCTCTACTCTAGATTGTCTGTTTTATTTCTCCTTTCCAGTTTGTGTTATTTTGGGGAGGTTTGAACAAGGGTGTAAGGTTCGATAGAGAAGCTTTTTGAAGCGCATGAAATCTTATGTAAGTTGCTATCGTCACGCTAGCCAGAAGCTAGCTGCAAAGTCCTCCTTTGCCTTCTGGAAAATGCTTTGTTAATTAGTCAAAAGAATCTGGACTGTGACTACAGTGTGCAAGACTCTTCATCCAGTTTCTTTATAATACAGAAAAGGAGTGGTAGAGCAACGTGTTGCCATGCTTCAGCTAATTTGGACGACACCCTGCCGCTGTCAGTGAAAAGGCTCTTCCCGATGTCAGTGAGGTTAGGGGCAG